GCAATTACCAGTAAAGTGCGTCTGTCTATTCCCCAGTGACCCCTAAACGTTTCATTTACCATTTAACAGCCCTGTGGTTGTAAACTTAATCTTTTTATTGGTATTTGATAGTATACTGGGTATGTAGGGGCCAGGGTGCTCGCTGGATACAATGCAAAATTCATTGCTCTCAATCAGTCAAGTTTGCTTGGTAGTACATTTAATATGTACTATGAACTCTTGGTTTACACATGTAATAAAATCGTTTACATGCACAGATGGTGTAATGACGCTTTAGCATGCTCCCATAATAGTCACTGACAGCACTTGTAGTGTTTACATTGTGTAACAGTTCAAACCTTTGACTACATGTATTATAATTATTTTATACAAATGTTCCCTGCAATTTATTACACTTTACAGCAATGAGTTTGTTAAGTATTGAAGATCATGTGTACAACTACATGTACCCGGTACCACTAAAATGAAAGCATAGGCCTACATGGAAAGTTACAATAATGCTTAATGCTTAATTTTAGTTTTACTTATTATTTGCTGTGAACATATTCTTCTAATAATTTCCTATGTAGGTTCTGATTGTACTTGATTTGTTTTGTCTTGTCCTGTTTGTGTTGGTCCCTTGTATATGTGTGTTTGTGTAACTTAAACTTCATTGTGTAGTTAAGTTAAAGGTACAAATGTATTTAATATATATTTTTTTCTACACATAATGGACTTCTCCACTTGACAAGCTTGCTTTTTGGAGAAGCCCACCGCTTAATCTTATCCTGTTATCTAAATTATTGTTTAAACCGTTTCCCTTCAAAATGATTAAGTGGAAATAAATATGAATGAATGAATGAATGAATGAATGTACAACATGTATGTGCATCACTTTCCTATGCAAACCATCATGTACATGTAGTATGCATTGCAATTGAAACATTTTGAAAAAGAAAAAAAAACAACACTCTCAAACAAGGACAAGTTTGATTTATGCGATAACAATTTCAATCTGCTTCCTTTTCTTTTCATTCTTTCCTCATTCCCTTTCTTGCCTGCACTTGTAAACCATGCATTTTGATAGTGGTACAGAGTGTGTTTGATTTGGAGTCCAAAGGACACAAGAGCTCCCATTGAGTGAACATTGTACATGTACCACAGGCATGACAGGGTTTTGCTGTGGGAGTGACCCCATTGTGTGTGTACTCCACTACTCACAATGCCTCACCCCATGAAACACCCCCCCCCCTTAATTCAGTTCTTTCTATTTAAAAGCCTCTTGGGTTGTGAAAGGCCACCTGAAAATCCTCTCATTCCTGGTGGAATAACACCATTGTGCTGACAATGACAGTCAAGATTACACTTTCATAATGAAACCATCTCAGAAATCTACAAACAAGCTGAGTGAACACTCCCCCCCAATTTGAGCTGAAAAACAGTGGCACTTGCATGGATTCTTAAACGCTTTCTGCACTTTGACACGGATCTGTATTCTTTGACACGCCTAATCTGATAACACACACATGCTTTATCTGTAGTTTTCATTTTGGCCAAACTTTGACATGGTATACTTTTTATTTCTCCATGGACATACATTGTACATGTAGTTCCCATGTGCTAGTTCTGTGTACATGTAGATCAACAAATTGCAATTAAGGTACATGTGCATTTGCAAATGTAGTGTAAGAAAACTGAAACTGTACAGTGGTTTATGCAACATGTATTTTTTCATTTTATGCCATGTGTGAAACAAAATGCAAGTCACTAGTCAGTATGCTTTGAGATATTCATACAAATAATAATTTTAGTTTCACTCAGGATAGACATGTACAATGTACATTGTACATATACGGTACGTACCAGTATATATACACATGTATACACAAATCTCTGGTTGTGTTTCTTTTCACATTCACTTTCATGGCTCTATAGGTACATTTACCTCACCCACAGATTCTTTGTCTTGATTGGCCGAGAGTGAGTCACATGATACTTTCTATTTTTGCTATCTTTCTGTGCACGGCCAAAAGTACTATACCCGTAGCAACCAAAGTATTATACCATTGGCAACCAAGGTACCATTTCCACGGCGCGGTATTTGTGTGCAAATGCATGCTGGTGTGCGCGTTGCACGCAGCGCGTTTTGTTCCAAAGAGAGCGCGCCGGAGAGTTGGGTTCAAACATTTTGTGGTAGTTTGGAAGAGAGAAATACATTTTCCTCCATTTTCGTATTGAAATTGAAGTTTATTTCAACTGTGTTCAGATTTAAATAATTTAAATATTATCACCAAGCAGAATCTGTGGGTGAAGTGTTATAGAAAACAAATATTGAATGCTTTATCTTGTGGTGAAGTAAAACTAGCCTCCCTCGGTGATCCATGGAGCATTCTATTTTCCCTCGGCTTCGCCTCAGGAAAATAGAATGTCCATGGATCACCTCGGGAGGCTAGTTTTACTACACCACTCGAAGCATTCAATATTTGTATAATACATGTATATATGCCATGTACGGTAACTGTATGTAGTATATTGTAATCCATCTCATACTAGTGTCTTATTTCCTTCCTCCCTAGTATGATCAAGATGTAGTGCATAACGGTACATGGGAATATGTCATGAACATTTTGGGCTGAAATGTATCAATTGTTGTGTTTACTTGTGTGACGCATCAATTTTGCATGTTTAAGAAATGAGTTCCGTACATGTTTGTATGATCATATAATTGATACATTGTGTGTGTGATATGTACATGCGGTAATTAAGTGCAACATGTGAATTGTACCGATACTCGAATGTACCTTTGCAACATTTGTTTTACAAAATTTAATTTAGAAGTAAAGATCACTTTATTTCTAAAATTTCAAAAGACATTTTCACAGTGACAGATTTGTTTCAAAGCAAACAACATTTTTGCCACAGAGATTTGTTTGGAGATACCGTACATGTACAGTACATACATGTACATGTATTTGAAGAAATAACTGTTTGTCATCAGTGTTCAATAAGTTATTTCTAGTTTACACATTGTCTTCTGACATTTATTTATCCAGCATGCAATGTATGGTACACATGTACACTATACATTTACATGTACATGTAATCCAATATTAAATGGATACTAATGCTTAGTCATCAATGTCATCTGTCCATTTGAAATATACCCACATGCACTTCTGCTTGAGTATCAACCGATATGTGCAATCCATGGCTTAGATCATTTCGTGGCATCAGCAGAGATGTTTCTGTTTTGAAATGTTCTTGCAAATTGGGTTGCTTTAAAAACAAATTGAAAATTAGCACAAATCTTAGTTGCCTAAGACTTTAGTTTAAGGCTTAAACTTTTGCATTTTACATGTGTATGACAGTGTAATTATAATCATGTGGCATATCCAAAGCTAAAAAAAAAAAACAATCTTATTAAGCTGTTGGGATCTAGGGCCTATGACTTTTTATTTGACACTGGCACATCCTGTGAAAGAGTTGGTATACAAACAATAATTAGGATTTGCATGCGAGTCAGAAAAGTGCAATTTACAAGTATGTGAAAAAAAAATTACATGCATGTGCACCGCGTAAACACATACTACAAGTACAAGTGTTGAAATACAGAATATTGATAAAGTTGTACACGTGCATGTGCATTACAATGTACATGTACCGTACATGTACGATACGTACATGTGTACATGTGGGAATATGATGTCCAAAAGCCCTGCACACAAGCCCCAAACTGAACAGCACAACAGAATGATGAGTAATACAATCAGTAAAGAATTCCTCACCTTAATTGCAATGAAGCGTGACATTCTACATTATGCATGCCTTGGACATATACATGTACATGTATGTTGATATTCATTTTCATAGACATTTTTTTTTTAAATACATGTACAATGTAATTTGAATGTTCTGAATGTTCAGGTTGCATGTAATTTAATGTATGAGCTACTGGTAATATACCTGTGTGCATGTGACTACCCTGCTTTCCAGTTAAATTTAATGCACACAAGAAAACAATTGGCACTAATCCGTTTTGATAATAGATTTTCTGACCCATTCAAGTGATATAGCCGAAATCTGTTTGACAAGGAGCGCAACATTAAATCTGTGCAACTGACTACCAGTTATGTAATTACACAAGGTATGGTAAGGTAAATGTAAAGGTGCACACATTTGTGCAAGTAATACTATCGAGTACCAAATGTGTGAAATTTGCCACTTAAGTGGTATCGGAAGCATTAAGTAATCTTAAAACAGAAGAACATTTAATTCAAATTTGATCAACATTTGTGACCGGATCCCACAAAATTAATGTCAAGGACATTTAAAAATGTATGTACCGGTATTCATGGTATTAGAACAAATACTGCATGCAGTACAGTATAGGACCTACATGTACATGTAGAGCTGGCTCTACCTCAATTTGACCATGGTTTGACATTTGCAAATGTAAGGCCTACCGGTATGTGGTTTAAAATAAAAACGGCTGTTTCAGTAAATTGTGTAGATGTTACCATGGCATGCATGGGCTGCGAGTCAATTTATTTAAACAAATTTGTAATGAAACAAAATTTGTTAAGGGGCCTAGGCAAATCGTATTATTCAAAAGGGTACATTGTACATTGTGTGTAAGTTTATACATGTACATGTACCGGTACATGTGTACACGTATGTTCGAGTATCTCTGGTAAAAGGTCCTTTTTATGAGTTGGGTGACATTTTCAAGGATGTACCATGTGCAATGTACGTGGACACATACATGTACACACATGTACATGTCCTCCAGCAATTGCAGGATTTCAGGTTGTTACTGACAGGTAATTTTTAATTTTTTTTTGTAATTGAAGATACGCCGGTAGCAAACATGTATGTGTTGTACATGTACATGTTGTACTCCTTTCAAATACATTTACTCCAAATATTCTGTAGAACTGTTTCTGCTCAGGGTCTATCAGATGGAACAACCTCTCATTCCTGATGTTTCAAACCCACTGTCGTCTCTCTCTCTCTCTCTCTAGACATTCACAGCGTGGTGCAACTCTCATCTTCGGAAGTCAGGAACGCAGATCGAGCACATCGACAAAGATTTCTGCAACGGACTGAAGCTGATCAATCTACTGGAGGTCATCTCGGGCGAGCGGCTGCCCAAGCCAGAAAAGGGCAAGATGAGGGTGCACAAGATCTCCAACGTGCAGAAGGCCCTGGATTACATCATGAGTAAAGGAGTCAGGCTGGTCAGCATTGGGGCGGAAGGTAGGCTTGTCTGGCTAGGCTTGTCAAACCCAACTTGATCACACACATGCATCCATAGGGGTGTTTTTGGGAACCGGACCACTGATGTCAGGAACCGGTTCCAGATTATGGGATCGGGTACCTGTAATTAACTTTACAAATTACTTAGTAGCTTCTCAGACAATGACAAAGTTTTGAATGCCATTTTTGGGAAACTTTCAAAATGGAAACCAGGCTTGTGGATTTACCGTAACTGAATTAAACTAGCCAAAAACTCCGCAAAGACTGCTGCTGATTGGCAGTGATTGCAGAGGGTCTGTTGAGAAAATGATGTTGTGGACAACATCAGTCAGGAGAAGTTCAAATTGTCTAAAGTCACATGCATCGCTTGCATCAATCTTAACCTGCAGTGCTTGCATAAGCCTCTGTACTAATGACATCACACTTTGTTTACGTGTGTGCTTTCCTATGGTGCTCAGTGGACCGTGGACCCCACTGGCTCCATAGGAAAGTGCACATGTAAACAAAGAGTGACGTCATTAGTACAAAGGCTTATAGGTATGTGCAGTGAAATGAGAGTTGGCTCAGGAAACAAAATAATTCAGATTATCAAAAAATTCTTCTCTCTCCTCTGCACCTGATCATAAAACAATGCCAAAACAAACACTTGCAAAGATGAACGGCTTCCAAATCTGCAATCAATGAAGTGGTTTCATCTTTGAACATGTTGAAACTTGTGAAACTGAAACCATCAGACAATGAGAGATACATGTAACTGATTCTGTGTTTCATTGACAGAAATCGTGGACTGTAACTTGAAGATGACCCTGGGTATGATCTGGACTATCATTCTGCGATTTGCCATCCAGGATATTTCTGTGGAAGGTAAATTGAGTCAAGTGTCATGTATTTTTCATTTTTAGGTTATTTTCTTAAAGCTGTACAGTGCATATCTGATGTGCATATCAAAGCATTGATTCCAACTTACAACAATAATGTCAGGACTATGAATGTGTTCCTATACATACATATGAGGTGTTTTTTTTTAAATGTATTATTTCTTTTGGATCACAAGATTTCGTTCAACCTTTTGTGTTAATTACAGAATGTTGTCACATTTAAAAAAAAGAAGAAAAAAAGTCACCAAAGCGAATTTCCCTGACGAACAGGTTTAAACTGTGTAAGAATCTGATAAAGATTTGGCTTCAGAATTAATCTTGTTTTGTTTTGTCTATATGTGAACTTACCATTAACCATTCATAATTTACCCACAGGTACACTATTCCCCGATGCATGGTTTGCATGGCTCCAGTTTTCCAAATGTCCCTGTCACCTTACATGTATGTTTTTGTTTTTAGCAGGGTAGAAGTTGCAATATTCATGTGTTTTGATGTTGAACTCCTTGTAGCAATTCCTCTGGGATCATGTTCACTTGTACCCATCTTTATCATACAGCTGACACATTTTGTCTAAATGTCTGTCTGTCATGTCTATCATATTTCAGGTGTGGTTCGTTCGCAGGAGTACAATGAAAATGGGACTTTTGAATTTGAAATGGGCAAAATGTACACGTACCGGTATACCTGCACTATTAATCACGAAACCAAAATTTAGTAGGAAGTCCAACTTTACTGCCAGTTGGTAGATTTCCTGAAAGTAACTATTTCACTTTCCTCAAACTTACTATCGGTCTTTTCACTTTGTTCCCTTCTTATAGTACAACATGTTTGTAAAAAAAACAAAAAAACTATCTTATCGTGATTCTAATCACGAAGTGACGTACCGGTACATGTATCGTCTATGGACTTTGCGCACACGGTACGTCACTTCGTGGTACGACTGACGAATTACATACATTTTATCTTTTATTTACAATGTGCATGTTAGGACAGGAAAAATGGGGTTTATTCCATTTCTATGAACACAGTGTTTTCTGTGGCTTTTTCATTTACAACTTTCTGTTATGTAAGTGTTTAATTCTCCACCAGCACTTGTGACTCCTCCTAACACAACCAGATGTGGTTTTGTCAAAACTAGTACAATGCATACTTGTATCGTGTACCACTACACAAAGTTCCTGCAACATTTGTTTAGTAGCAACAGTTCATTATTTTCTGCATAACAATTGGATAAACACTTTTGAAGAATACACCTACCGGTACATGTATGTACATTGTAGTGCATGATTTTGAGGAAAGATGTCTTGTTTTCTTTTCTTTATTTGTCACAGGGGTTCTGTACTTGAAAAGTGCAGTTACTGTACCGATACTCTCCTCTAACAAGTAGTAAAACACATCTTTTTCCTTTTTTAGATGAAGATGAACTACACTGTCTGAGTGATGTTCTTGCATGCACTTGAACCTTTTAACAGTTTAACACACAGTTCAATGTACAAACGTGGCATAAAAACTGTGATGTTTAACCACTTCTGTTTCAGCTGTGCCAACATAATGCATTGCATTATATGACATTTAAACATGCTTATTTCAGCTCACACAGCCAAAGACGGACTTCTCTTGTGGTGCAAGCGCAAGACTGCTCCCTATCGCAATGTCAACGTCTCAAACTTCCACATTAGGTAACGGTGAGAGAGCATGCACCCGGCCGTGTGATTTCCTGTCATTCTGCGTTAATCAAATAATTTGTTCATGTTGTTGGTTTGGTTTTCTTTCTAGAATGTTTGTATGGTGTTACTAGTGTGCCGACTGACGATATAATACATGTAATAGCATCAGTAGGAACCAGCGTGGGAGTAACAAAACTAAACAGCCGTTTTGCCTTCATTTGTTGTTCTAATGAGAGTCTTTTGTTAGGTTAGAACCTTACTTGCATGACATTAACTCACGCACGAAGTGAATTTTCTCCCCTGCCTACATCTGTCACGTTGTGCGGCATCTGATCTGCAGAATTGACCGCTAAAGAAGGTCTCTTGCTGTGGTGTCAACGCAAGACACAGCCGTACAAGAATGTGAAGGTGTCCAACTTTGACACAAGGTAACTCTCAGTCTGTCGTGATCAAAACGGCAGTACGCACGTAGGCTTGGATTAGCCCTTGGCATTGTGGGATATGTCAGGGGATAGCAACGGCTTGGTTCTGTGCAGGTCTTTGGTAAGAATGATGTCTTGCAGGCGGTAACTGTGACCATACCCGCACAGTCAAACGTGCACTTATTACTATGCAGATATGCACCATTACATGCCATTGATGGTGGCCTGGTACTGGAGTACATTCCTTCACAATTTTATACAATCAAAACATTGAGCGATGCTGCGTCATTCACAAAAACCAAAGACCTGTACAATACAAACCAAGAGCCGCGCATGGGATTGGTAGTTGACTGCATGTAATCTCTTGGCATGTGCTATGGTTTGTTATCTCCTCCAACACAGAGTCTACAGCTAAGGAAGGCTTACTTTTGTGGTGTCAGAGGAAGACGGCCCCTTACAACAATGTCCGAGTCCAAAACTTCCACACGAGGTGATATCAAGTTGTACATTCGTACAGTATCCTCGTAACCCCATCCCATCCTTCTCTAACTTCCGTGTTACCAACAAGACTGTCTTAAAATGACATTGGCCAATACAGTTTGCTTTCATTGGGTACATAAGGAAATAAATGGCACTGAGGGCATTTAGGTCGGTATCATTTTTTTCTGCCAGTTAGTTAAAGATACATGCATGAAGGTATCACAGTTCAAGCATGCATGGCATGTGATAGTAGCAGTAGTGGTAAGTCATACTTAATTACAAGAACTGTATAGAGTCTAGCATACATTTGTAGGTAACACAACCTCCTTTTTTATTGGGGTCACAGTGTATTGGGGTCGCTTTATCTATAAATAAAAAATAAAAAAATAAAAATCTTGCTTTATGGATCAAGCAACTTAAATAAACTGCAGAGCTTCTTGTTTTGGAGAAGTTAGAACAATTTTTTTACAAAAGAAGAAATTTGAAGGAAATGTACAAATGTGCTGCTACTTTAATTTTCATTGATGACAATTTGTACGAAAATGGATAAGATTGCATTGTGAATGTAAACCATTCAATGCAAATCAATGCAATAACTTGAACGAGTGACTTCCTGATAACCAGGAAAAAGAGGGGATGTTTTTTTTCATTTCCAATACTGCAATCTAGTTTTCGATATATAAAGACAGCTCTATACCCATGAAGGTTTCACCGTTGGCAAACGGACAATACACATTAGTTTCATATCGATTCCTGTTTTATAGCTGCATATTAGCTGGAGAAGTCACAGTTTTCAATGGTAAATGTGGCCAACAGTCAGTTTAAGACAGTCTTTCTATTCACCCTGGCTCATTCATTATGGCTCCCCTGGGTTTGTAACAGAGTTTCATACTAACTCAACTGACCAACTAGCAACTCATAATAACCACATCGGTAATGTTTACTCATACACCTGCTTTTACCAAGAAAACGCGGGCCATTTACATAAACATCCTCAACAATTATCACACCTGGTCATAAACATAGCATTTGATGTTTCTGTATGAGCTAACACAACCTAAGGAAAATTTATTACATACATACATGTGCATTGTGTATGAATTATGATATAACATCCGGTGTGCATCTTTGCAAACTTAACATCATACGCTCACCAGTGACTTATGTCACATTGAATGTAATCGCCATCATCCTCAACCCATTGACTTCTGAGGTCATGAATAAATTAACTATAATTAACCACTATGTTCATTTACAATATGCATATTCAACAAATGTCAGAAGAATATTTTGGATGCATGCAATTTGTTTTCAACATCTTCAACAATTATCGCTCCGGGTCATAAACATAGCTGATGTTTTCTGTATGAGCTAACACAACCTAACGAAAATGTATTACAAATATATATACATTGTACATGTGCATTGTGTATCAATTATGTTATGACATCCTGTGTGCATCTTTGCAAAATTAACTCAATTAATCATACGTAATCCATTATCCTGTGACTTATGTCACATTTAATGTAATCGACTTCATGCCCAACTCATTGACTTCTTAGGTCCTAAATAATGTATTCAACCAATGCCAGAGGAATATTTTGGATGCATGCAATTTATTTTTGTTGGAAACATGTTTGTCATCATCCTAAATTAAGTGAGACATTTCTCGCACTGAACTAATTGAAGACATATTGAATCATCAACTTTCATTATTATACACATACTTTGGAGAACTCATTTATAAAAAAAACAATGTGTTGTCTTTGAGATCGAATGTCCTGGATTCATTTTACATTTGACAAAAATCTCTCCAAACAAAGTAGGTTTTATTAAATTGAGGATTCAAAGACTAAAAATAAATATTGACATTTTTTTTGCACATGCACATCTATATGTGCGTACATGAATTTGTATGAACAAAAATGTGGAAAGTCATAATGTTAAATCATAGCTCTTTATTTTGCAAAATATGATGCAAAGCATACATGTACAAGTGTACATGTACATGCACTGAGTACTTTGTGGAAACATCCTTTTTAATACATACATGTACACATGCATATTGTATGTTTTCAATGTATGTATCTAATAACCAACTCGGTTATTTCACTTCGTATTCTAGTTACATGTAGTTCACAAATGAAATATTTCTACCCTCCCACGCCTCTGTTAATAAGTCACAGTTTCAATTTGCTGAATATGATGCAATCACCTTTAATTTCCCAATATGGAAACATCAATTTTTAATACATACTGGTACAATGTATGCATTTTGAGTATAACATTTAATAACCATCTCATTTGAATGAACTCACAAGTTATTTCAGTTCATATTCCACTAATATCACCATGGAATATTCAGTCCCACCTTTCACCTCAATTAACGAGCCGCAGCTTGACTGACCTTGTCAGCACTGGACATCACTCTGTCAAAAACACTCTGCCATTGAGGAGAAATTCATCCACCATCCTGCTTTTCTAATTCTTCAATCTGTCACAAATGTGGCTTTAAATATCATAAGATGCATCTGATCACTAATCATAAACGAATGACTGACACAAATTCCAAGACTTGGAGACATCCTGCTGGTGTAGATGGACATTTTCTGAACTTCACATTTAAACACTGTCCATTGAAGGTTATATCTGATTGACCTGTACAATTCTGAAGATCAAATGAAATGGAAGAGCAATCTGTGTGCGTAGAAGTCATGGTTTGAATTTAATATTCCATGGATGGGCAGAACCCTCGTATTTTTTCCTGACTATTGGTTGTGTACATGTACATGTAGATGTACCTTGACTGAGTTATAAATGCACATCACTGATGATAATACCACACTGTGCTGTCATACCGTACATGTACACGTACACGTAGCAAGCAGTTTAAAGCCAAGGGGCTATATCCCTTCCACAAGAATGCAGTACATGTCGGGAATGGCAGACTATGAAGGCGAAATATTTCCAATTCTTGAGGGGATCCCAGATTCCTTCATTGTGCCTATAACACAACAAAGACATTTGAGAGGAAATTGTGACAAGATCGTGACAAAGAAGTACCTGGATATTATAAAGACTGGGGAGGATAAAAGGAAATACGAAAAAAAAAGGATTAATAATACATTCATGTACATGTAGGATTATTTTTCCCAGACTGAAAAGTTAAATACCTCTGGACAATTTCTGGAAAGTAACAAATACACATTATGATGACGAATGTTATCGCGCAAACTCTCTGCCATCTGGGATTAATGGCTTAACAAGGCAACATTCCTACTATACATACATGTAAGTGTAGCATGTAATTCAGGGGAGCCATCGAGCCAACAACCCTTCCATCCAATGTACCTCGTGGTCGTCCGTATTCCTGAGTCTGTGTGGTACCAGTGGTAATTGTGAAGAGTATTGAATGCACAACCCTGTACATTGTACACACCTCACCTTCCCACCCTGCACCCACTTCCATTGAGCCTATGGCCAGGGTGGCCTCTCCTACCAACCTGACTACCTTTCCATGTATGTGGGACCTTTGGATAGATCTGTAACTTGCACCCTTCCTTTTCATTAATGCACTCTTTTCTAGAAACCATTAATGGGTTTAGCAGTACACTAAATGTCATTGAGCACTTCACTGGAGACAAAACACCATTTCCAAAAAAAAAATTTACGGGAAAAGATTATATCTGAAACTGGAGATTAAATACAGATATATTCAAAATGAAACCTGGGAAATCCTACATCTGGGAAGGAAGCATTTTGAGGTTTTTTGTTCTTTCTCTTTGTGTTCAAAACTGAGAGTGCAGACCAACAAGGCATTTTACATGTATGCATAATATTCCAGCCTCTTGCTTTTGCCTGGGGCTAAAATAGTTGTGGAGGAACTGATATACATGAAACTGAAAACAGAATGAGTGGGTGACAGTGGAAACACTCTCTGTTGAGATTTTTACAAGAAACATCTCCCAAACTGCTCTGCAGTACTCCACTTTTCAGTGTTTCCGTTGTAACAAGAAAATTAACATGCCTGTTTATTCAGCCATTTGACATGTTTTTACTGAGTAAGCATGCTAATACCCAACTGATACTCTTATTACAACAAAGGCTATTTTCTTGTCCCTTGCCACGCAGGCCTTAAAAGGTAAAGTTTCTGCATGGATTTTTATCAGATCTTGGCATTTTGTTTCATGCAGTTGTAATATTTATTGAGCGTTGTAGTACTCGTACTCGTGAGAATGTACTCCCGTACTCGCAAGAAAAAAAATCACCTACACTCGTACTTGTACTTATGACAAAGTACTCATATTCGTTCTTTTGCAAATATTCTCCCGCAAGAATTTTTTTAAAGAATTAAGTGGTAAATGCAGTCACAATGTACGGAAACACATTTTCTACTGTTTTTGGGACTTTTACATTCGTTTATTGTTTGACGGCAAAACAATGTGCTCCAACTTGTGGAAAGTATTTGTACTCGTACTCATACTCGAGTACATTTTTTGGTACTTGTAAATGGAAACAAATTTCCTTCTTTCAAACTCGTACCCTTACTCACGTGCAAAAATGTACTCGTACAATGACAAAGTGCTTGACTACAACACTGTTTGATGGCAAGGGGGCCAGTTTCAGGGAGCTACTAAGCACAGATATCATTTGCTTAGCAATCCTGGTTACCAGCTAAACTGTCATACATGCCATACGGCCTTTGACTGGCTCTCAGTTCATTTTTGATTAGCAGTTAAAATTGCTGTGGAATATTTAAAGCCTGGCAGCTTCGTGAAATTGGGCCCTGGTCTTGGTACTGTCAAAACACTAGGTTGGAATGGAAGATACCGTACAGAGAGTTTTTGTGAATTTTGAAAAGTTTCAATTTGAAATTCAGCCATTATTAGAGTCAGGCCTAGGTTCCCACAAGGAATTAGTGCATTCTATATTTGTATGATGCTTGTACCATTTAGGTTGGCAAATTATAAGGGATCACAAGTACTTCCCGTGGTTCAGATATCAACACAAAGCTAAGCTGTTGTATCATTCTTATCACTAACTTGTGGGATAACATTCACTGCATTCTTAACTTTCATCACTTCACCAACCCATACCAGAATGTTTGTCTTACAAATATTCATGTAGGTTTATGAATTGCATTTTCTAACCTAACCTGCTTAATGGATTACTAAATTATGTTAAAGGAAAATAAAAACCAGCCTTCCATCTTTCATTGAAAATTCTAGACGGATGTGAAATATTCTCCCTTGAGTAAAATCTCAATTTTAATTTACATGTACATGTAGTGAATTGTTTATTGTCTCAAAGTTTCAATATTATCCCTTTTCTGAATATCAATGCACAAGGCATACCCCATGTAGCGGTGTTAACATGTGACTTTTGTATGAGGTAAACTTAGATACTGAGAGTTCAGAATCTTTAGTAGGCCTCACCCAATTCTTCCTATGAAACGATACTGCCAAAAAACCCTCAAGCTGCTAAAGTTCAGACTCGCACTTCCTGCTTGTCTTAGAAGAGGAAAATGGTACCCCTGACATTCATGTACATGTACACGTACCAGTACGTACATTGTAAGTTTACATGAAAACTGCAGGCAAGGTTAACTACAGGTCATGGTTTGTTAAGCATACGAGATGTACTGGTAATTGAGTTAAATGAAAAATGTGTACAAACAAATGCAATTAATCAAGTACATAATATTGTATAGAAGTGATGGAGTTTCAAATTCAATAGATGATGGAATTTTATTAAAAAACTTTTGGTAAAAGCCTTGTCATCAGCAAAAATGACATTTTTAGACACAATCTCAGTATGCGCATGAAATTTGGTGGGTTTTTCTTTGTGCAGGAGCATAGTGATGTCACAATGATAACAGCATTGACTGTGATGAATTTTGGCCTTTGCACCATGTTGAGTGTTAATGCTTCGGGAGTAATCATGTCTTCACAAGTCCGTCGCAAGGCTCAAATCAAGTGTCCAGTTACATGTGTTGCTACAAATTATAATCAACAGCATTCTCAATTACTTGTGATCGACTTGTGATCTGACTTTTGATGCATTTGACCACGCCTCTGCTATTTTGAATCGTTCATACTCATTGTGTTACATATTGTTTTCCTCCATCAGCTGGAAAGACGGCCTGGCGTTCTGTGCCCTCATCCACAGACATCGCCCGGACCTCCTTGATTACAACAGCCTCAGCAAGGTACCGTACATTGTACATGTAATGCTTGAACTGCTGTTTCTAAGCTTTGTATGCATGTCTTGATACACAATAAGCACCACAAGTACTGTTTTCAATAATTTTCCAACTAAACAATGATAGCAGAATCATTAACAACGTAAATTTCAATCCTCTTGAAAATCATTGAAACTGAAATCTCGGTGCGGTCTCATTTTCTTATGAGAAGCCAAACTGAGCAAAGTTGTGGCTCCAAAGGGCTCACGTAAACATGGTAAACACAGCGTTAAGTCTCGGGCTAATGATTGACAGACACAAAAAACATATCCAGTGAAATTAAAGAAACAAAGCAGAGTAATATTCAGTTCAATTCAATTCAATTTGGTTTTTTTGTGTGGACATTTAATAAGATGCAATTTTGCGTCGGGGTGATATAAATCAAATTAGGTTTTGCCCTTCACCGATGTTTAAACAGTATACATGGTATAACACTGTAAGACATCTGCACTAGAAAGCAGGAGGTCGTGGGTTCGAGTCCCACCCGAGTGATTTTTTCCAACTTTCACTCGGGAGGTAACACACTGAGTATACAGTGTTTAAACGTCGGTGAAGGGCAAAACCTAATTTGATTGTGTACATTAACAACATGGAAATTTGATTCCCACTGACATATCTTTTAGTACACTTACATTGTAAAAACACACATTAATCGTGTTAATACACAACATCTTGGTGATGGCAAGCTTGTAACCATGTCAGATTGATGCCACTACCTGAAATGATTTTTGAGGAAAATCATAATGGCACTGAATACCGGTACGTGTATACACGTGCAATAGTAGACATAAACATGGGTTAATTGTCTTCATTTGTGAATAATGTTAAAAAAATAACATAAAACGTACAAAACATACATTTTACACGTCTATGAAAAATAATATATGAAGCCAAAGGCTTGTTACAAGGTACATGTACATGTATACCCAAAGTGAAAGAACAATTATTTATTTATTTATTGTTCAAGTGAAACTGAAAGGGGGAAACCAAGATTTATCTGGCTCTTTCCTTCCTTATGGTGAAGTTTAGATCAAGCAGCAGATACATACATGTACAGATACATGTACCTTATCACAGTGGGGCTTTACATGTACCAGTACATGTACGTTGTACATACATAAATGCCAAGATCTACATGTAATAGATCTGAAGTTTGATATTTTTGTTTTTAAATCATTCAGGATGATCCCAAGAAGAACCTGGAGCTTGCCTTTGAAGTGGCAGAGAAGTACCTGGACATTCCCAAAATGTTGGATCCTGAGGGTGGGTACCAGTTTGGGTTCTGTTGAGTTCTATGAATAGGGTCAGATATCAGATCCTGAGGGTGGGTACCAGTTTGGGTTCTGTTGAGTTCTTTGAATAGGGTCAGATATCAGATCCTGACGGTGGGTACCAGTTTGGGGTCTGTTGAGTTCTATGAATAGGGTCAAATATCATATCCTGATGGTGGGTACCAGTTTGGGTTCTGTTGAGTTTTATGAATATGGTCAGATATCAGATCCTGAGGGTGGGTACCAGTTTGTGTTCTGTTGAGTTTTATGAATAGGGTCAGATATCAGATCCTGATGGTGGGTACCAGTTTGGGTTCTGTTGAGTTCTATGAATAGGGTCAGATATCAGATCCAAACATAGGGTTAGATAACAGATCTACCAGTGGGTACCAGTTTTGGGTTGGTTGATTTCGACATGTTAGAAACATGTAATATATCTTGATAGTGGGTACCAGTTAGGGTTCTATTGAGTTAACTCACAAATGTCTTGATTGTGGGTACCAGTTTGAGGTTAGTTGATTTCCTCGCATATGTAGGGTTTAGAAAACATATCTTGATGGGGTACCAGTTAGTGTTATGTAGAGTGCAACACAAACTTGTTGGGTTAGGTAACAGATCATGATGGCGGTTACCACATGAGGGTTATATAGAATTCAACACTCAAGACAAAAGAAATTGGATTTGGATATTGGTTAGCATACAAGAATCTGTTGAGTGATGGTTGGTCATGATGGTGGGTACCAGTTAGGAGTCTAGTGAATTCTACACAGTGCAAGTGACTAGATCTTGATGCTTCAGATTGTTTGAATACTTGTTTGTCCTACTTGACAGATATTATCAACACCGCTAAGCCTGATGAGCGTTCCATCATGACCTATGTCTCCTGCTACTACCATGCATTTGCAGGAGCTCAACAGGTACGTCGCTCGGGGTCTGTGCATAGGGCACCCTTGAAATTTGTTGTCTGAGTATTACTCGTTATCCACGGAGCCAATCTCCTGTATAGTGTCTGATATGTCTTGACATGCATATACATGCAAGCCGCACGCCAGCCAATCGGAGTCGACTTTTCTGAATCGTGACGTCATTACATTCCCAAATTAGGACTAAATGGTTTGATTGGTCAATTCGAATGCAGTGTTTTGTAATACTAAAACAGCCGGGCGCGATATCGCGTAACATGATACAGAGTGTGTGACACATTTTTTTTTTATCCATTGTCTATCGACGCACAACAGGTGAATGACTGCAGACCCGATTTAGAAAGCGCCCACTGATTGGTCAAAATTTAGGCGGTCAAGAGGCGAAACTGTTCACACATAATAGACCACGGCATTCTTTGTTGATGTGACATTAAACTCAGCAGTGTGCAAGACCAATCAAATTGGTTCAATAGGGCCAAAAAAGTGCACTACCAATCATAAAACACCGATGGACAATTTTCAGTCAACATCCTACATAGCTGTTAGATGAGATTTGAAGGTTTGCAAAGTAAAAAGGTAATAAGATAAGTTGTTTGCGGTAGCACCATGTGGTAAATCTCTTGTGTGAGTATGTGTGGTTCTGAAAAGAACCGGAGGGAACTCAACATTTCGGACAGTATGCTCTGTTACCTCTGGCCCTAGTTGTTAGACATATTCCCTCCTTATTGTTTAAAGGTGCGATGCCCTGCAAACCCATGTGCGTTTTGATGCCTTGATGATTTTCTTTCAATTTTACAGGCAGAGAATGCAGCCAACCGTCTGTGCAAAGTACTGAGAATGAACCAAGACAATGAGCGACTAATGGATGAGTATGATCGACTGGCCAGTGATGTGAGTAGAAGACTTGAGGACCGCAATTCTGTCTTTACTGATTAAGAAAACCAGTGGTGTTTTCTGTAAATTGGTATTTTACAATAAGGGCCTCAAATTGCTTTCAAGGAATTAAATTAGACGTTTTCCTCATGAAGCCTAAAATAACTGTCCACACTAGCCCTCCCAGATCCTTCAAAACTCATGAGAATTGGGAGGATTTTACAGGATTAAAGATTTTTTTTTGTTTTTTTACTTTACGTGGGACTTGATACTATGTGAAAGTTTAAAGACAAAGAACTTGCAACAATTTTTTTCTGATTTTAAAGGTAGAATTGATTTCACACCGTAAGTTGTCACTTATTTTTTTTAATTCGTTGACATACATGTATTACCCCATAATCTAGTTATCCAATCAAAATGATGAAGGTTAATTCCCTTAACTTTTGAAATCATTGTGTACTTGGCAGTTGGCATCCAAATGGTTCAATGTTTTTCATTTGACAATCATGTACCTTTTTAATAAATTCCTTCAGTTGTTGGAGTGGATCAAGCGTAAGCGCCCATGGCTTGAGGATAGAACTCTGTCAGAAAACAGTCTGCCTGCTGTACAGGTATAGTCAACTTCATGTCCACTTCTAATTTCTGTCCTGTTTTAATGAAGAGGTGTATGACATCTACGTGTAGACTCAATGAGATGGTGCTTCTAAAAACTGTGTTCAAATATGTTCACTGTATGCAATGTCTGCTGTACTTGAAGTCTGCATACTGGAAATTTGCCACGTTTTTGTGCAGACACTAGAGCAAGCTTCTTGCAGTATGTTTGCATTACAAGGCAAACTTCCTTTAACAGAATACACAAGATGGGCTTTCAGATATTGCTAAAGAGAAAGTTGGGGGGGGAATGAGAATTTTATTTTTGGGAATTACCCAACACTTTATATAAGACCAAGTTTCATTCCCGACTTTTCATTCCATTGCTGACATTCCTTTCTTTTCTTTTTATTTATTCAGATGAAAACAAAGGAAGAATTGTGTATTGACTTAATAAAGTTACTGAGAAAATGCTACTTGTATCCCAAACATTCAAAGGTCAATTTTTTTTTTTATTTTCCACTCTGATGTTGCTTCATGTAGGATAAACTGGATGAGTTCCGTAATTATCGCGGCAAAGAGAAGCCTCCTAAAACTGAGGAGAAAGGACAACTGGAGACTAACTACAACACCCTGCAAACCAAGCTGCGTCTGAGCAACAGACCTGCCTACATCCCACAGGAAGGCAAAATGGTCTCGGTAGGTGTCATGCTTTGCTCTGGTAAAAAGCAGAAACTATACCATGCCAAATGATACTACAAAACCAAGCTGCTTTTGAACAACAGACCTGTCTAGCTACCCCCAATAGGAAGACATGCATGTATTGTCTCTGTATGTTAATACACATCACTTTATACCTGGTATTTTGGTTCTGTGGAATGCTCTTCATAAACTGATCTGCTAAATAGAGTCAGAAGACAGGTTGCACATGAACCACACTCCAATACTGTAGTTCAGTGCATTACTTGGCCAGTCACAAACTTAAAATCGAAAGTCCTTAATAAGCAAGTGTGATCACAAGCACCAGTGAATGAAGAGTTACAACAGACTGCTTGTGTCAAATTTCATTTTAATACGTGTAGCTGGTGTAACGTGGCTCGAGACTGGATGACTAGGCATGCTTGGCATGGACATGTTTTGGGTGTGTGATGGGCTTCGCCTACAACACTGCCACACTCACTTGGGCTGCACACATTCTTAGACTTAAGGCATGCAACGGCGATCTAGAACAAAATTGGGGGGGGGGTGGCACAAGGGCTCAAATATACATTGTATATAAAAAAAGAATCGAAACGGGTAAGGGGATTAGGTGTATAGTATCTTGCGCTATTTCCACATTGTAATATTACTACACGTACTAAGAGGTATTAAAGGTATGTGTTGCTGATGGCTTGCAAGGGAGCCTGAAAATACAAAAAAAAAAAAAAAATGTGTTTTGAGGGGTATTGCCTTTATTGGCCCCTGCCTCTCTGGATCAGCCTAATGGAGGCATGTGGGCAATGTGGCAAAACTATGGCATTCTCTGATAATGCAGATGTTATGAAAATGCAAATCACGTCAAGTGAAAGAATTAACCCAAATCATCAAAGAGCCTCCATCAGCCACCAGGAGGTTTTTGTGGAATTTCTCTGGATTTAGACAGGCAGAGCACGGGCACTGTTTACTTCAGATTTGATGTCCCTAGAAAGTTCCATTAGGTTAATTCCTGCATATTGTTTTTTCAGGAAATCTCTTAGCTGAAATGATTAGAGAGTTAAGGTTCATTTGTATATAGACAAAATATTTGGCAACATTTTTGAATGGCTTTATTTGTAAAGCTGTTTATAAGACACACAGGGTTAGTCTGTACATCACTCCGGCAAGATGCTTACTCCACCCATAAAACATGAAATATATCCTGGTTTACATTTGTAATGTTTATTGTTTCTAATGAGGAAGTGAACTGTTGAATTGATAAAGAGAAGTTCAGTTCCTGATTGATTGCCAGATGTTGTCCACTTAACAGAACTTAAGTTTTATTGCACATGTAAAGCTGAACCCTGGAGGATAACCCCCTCCCTGGATGACCTAGATAATCTGCCACGAGTTGTTGCCAGCCAGTCTTGCCAAAACTGGAAAACAAAAAAAGGATAAAAATGCTAGTTTGAAAATTGTTAGAAATTCCCATTAAAAGGTAATAGACACTATTCGCAAAAAAAAAGTAGTGTGTTTTTTTGCTGATTCAAGCATCAATACAATAAATCTGAATCAGGGTATTAATAAACTTACCTGTCAAAATGTCAGCTCAGTAGATATACTTTTTGAGAAAACTATGAAGATGCATCTTCATTTTTCTCGATACAAAACAAGGTTTCCGTAGTATTTGAAACAAAATGCCTTTTTTTGTCTGGTGATGTTGGGCCCTAACCATCGCGAGGTATCAGTAGTTTTTTTTTCTCTCCAAAAATGATGGCATACTAGGCGCAATATATTCACAGTCAAATAAAACAGTAAATAAGGTTCAGTGGATATTAAGATATAATAGATCAGGCAGTGACAAAGTAAGCTTGTTACATCTCTGAAAAGAATCATTGAGTCAGGAAAATGAGAAAAGAAAGGAAAATCTACCTTTACAAAATGTGCCAATATTCGCCTCCATGTGTACCAGAGACCCTTACAAGCTTCATGTAAGCTATGATTATTGACAAATGTGCTGGAAGTATTAGTCCAGTTTTCAGCCCTTATTAAAAAAACAGTCCAGTTGCATTTTGCAAAACGGTCACTAGAATTAGCTGCAACCCAGTGATGAATTTAAACTACTGAAATCAAATACTTGTAAACAGAATCACATTTATCGTTTGAGCAAGTTCATGAATCAGTTCAGAGATGTATGTTCATTCGAAAACTTCATAGCGTGTAACATTCATTCCATGACAGGCACCAAGATTGGATAGCTTTTAGAATCTTCATTATTCAACATACGGTATGGACGATAGCAGCCACATAAGGGTCTTCGGAACTTCAATATTCAGTTTTTTCTCCAAGTTTACAAGTCTACTCATCCATGAAAACATGTTGGATAGTATTGTTTATTGTTTGATGCTCATTTGTTGTCAAATATCTCCTTGTAGATGTCATCCTCATGTATGTCCTAACTTGATATTGTGTGTCTTACGTTTTTAACAGGACATTGCCAAAGCTTGGAAGGGTCTGGAGCAGTCCGAGCGTGGCTTTGAAGACTGGTTGCTAGCAGAAATGAGAAGGTGAAACCCTGTTACTGTTACTTGGTCAATAAATTTGCAAAGCAATATTCACTCGTAAGGGAATGGGGCCCAGTTATTACACAAGTAATTAACTTATTTTGAATGTGTTTATCTTATTTTGATTCAATTCAGACTTGAGCGTCTGGATCACTTGGCCAGGAAGTTCCGTCATAAGTGTGAAATCCACGAGGGATGGGCTGAAGGCAAGGAGCCTGATCTGGAGAACAATGACTACTCTGGAATCAAGCTCAACGAAATCTATGTAAGTTGGGCTGGCTCGTTAGAATAAACAATTTGCACTTCACCAACATGTTATTGTTCAAAGGTCTTTGTGTTTTAAGAGTTAAGGCTTGCTTGGGTACGACCAATCCACACAACCTTCAAATTGCTAGGAGAGAAATCTAATGAGTTGATGAGGGACTCGCTTCATTCTTGATATCTTGCATAGTCAAGCAGTGTAACAACACTAATGTTGGAAAGTCTACTGAATAAAAAAAATTCATCTAGAGAGGTGTTTTTTTCACGCCTGAGAATTGTGACATCTAACAAAAAATACAATCTGTTCAACATACTCGGAATTCAGCAGAGTTCAGGTGAACTCAGTTGCTGTCAGTTGAGAACAGGTTTTTGTTGGGATTTTTTTTTTTATAAAGGACCGATTTAAATACCAAACACAGTCACAAAATGTAGAAAATAATAAGGGCATCTTAATATTTTACAATGTCCTACTAAACTTTTTAAGATAAACAACTTGAGGGAAAGCAGTGGCATTCACTTTTCTTGGTAACCGGGTAATTGCAAACTATTGCCAGCTTGCTCAGTATGTGCAGAACAGTGATAAGGACTCTGCATATTGTCTCAAAAATTCCTGTGGCGTTCAGCTGAGATTGATGATTTTATTACACAGAGGTGCATTTATATTGTAAGTGGAGAGAGAATTGATTGTTGCAACTGACACTGAATCTGTTGAAAACGTTTATTTCATTTGTATATTGTAGCTTTGCCAATTTGCTTATCTTGTCTGTTTGCATGAATGAATTGGAACAGGCCCTGAAGAAGAAACATGAGGCATTTGAGAGTGACCTGGCAGCCCATCAAGATCGTGTGGAACAGATCGCAGCTATTGCTCAAGAAATGAAGTAAGCCTCTTCACTTGTGAACATAGCAAAATTGATCAAATCAAATACAGTGTCAACTGCTAGTTTTGTTATCGTACATGCAAGGAATCACGCAAAGGTTAAAGGGAAAATACAACATTTGCAAACATCAAAAAATAAAACTACCAAATCGTTTTGAAATATCTTGCTGGACTGTTAGTGAATGACAGTGTAAAGCATCCTCTAAAATCATGGCACCTGGTATACTGTCATTTTCAAGAAAAGTGCTATTTTTGTGTCAATTCCCAACGCTGATCGGCCGATCAGCGTTGGATAAAACTGGCTTTTTTTCAAATACTGGCCCCAATTGACCATCGCACTTGTTTGCAATCGATTACACACCTTTGAACGGGTACAAGCCAGCTAGACTGGTTCCCTGACCTTACAATTCCCCAATGTATGTAAACTGCTCTGTTTCTTCTTATATGGAGTCAGGGAACCAGACTACAGGAAAATGATTGTTTTTCTTGGTTTTTATAGCATTTTCGAACCCAAAACCTCAACAAAGTCAGTGTAACTATATTTGCTATATATTTCCAACCCCCCAATTCCATCCATTTCTGAAAATTACAGCAAAAGCAAATGATGTATATTCCCTTTAAATACGCATGTGAATTGACTATCGCATGGATTACCCCGGCAATAGTCTTTAATACTACACATGTGTTTTTTTTCTTGTTTTTTTTCAAGCAATCCTGGAACTATTTCATAGGTGGTAGTGCACATGTGCAAACGCCTCCCTTGCTGCATGAAAAAAAATGGTGGCACACGTACAGCAACATTTAGTCGGGATAACTGATGCATAACTCAAAATTATGGTGAATATGTATAAGGTGGAAACAAAGAAACATGTAATATGGTGTAAATATTTCGGTTAGATACGATAACATCGTTTATTTCAAGGCTTTGCTTCGGGAACTAGTTTGTCAACTTCCAATACCTCGTGGAGCTAGTATCGACTGTCAACCCACAAGTCATGGTATATTTGTAGAATAACTGCGGTACTTACAGGCCTGTATTTATAAAGTACATAGTTGAGTTGACTTTCATCATTGCTTATCCTCAGTCTCCTGGAGTACCATGACATAGGACCCATCAACTCACGATGCCAGACTATCTGTGATCAGTGGGACCGACTCGGTAATCTCACCTCAGCCCGCCGGCAGACATTGGAAGTAAGCTGTTGTTTGCGTCTTACCTTTTGTGCGTGTGATGTGCAGTTTATGTGATATGATCTGTTAAAACTGGGTATATCAGCACGCTATGTGACAGAGGGTTACCCCCCCCCCCCCTCAAATCTCCCTATACCCTGTACACGCCCTGGACTATTGTTACCTAATACACATCCCCCTAGATATCTCACAAGAATTCCTGAGATTCTGGTAACACATTGACCAACACAGAAGGGGAGGGGGGGGGGGGGTGTTACCCTCTGTCACATATCTTGCTACATGTATGGTTCCTGGCAGAGATTGAAAGTGAGGATCGACCAAGAAAGGATGTTGGTTTTTTTTGGGGGGGGGGGGGTCTTTTGGAGGGGATTCAGTTTTGTTTTGTTTTCAAAATTGTAATCCGTTATGTGTCAAACAGAATTGTCAAAATTTTGACTGTAATTTTCCTCTGATCATTTCATACAGATTAATACTTTGGTAATACTTTGAACAATCTGATGCATAATTTTCTTCTTTTTGTCCATGGCCCATCAACAGATCAATTACAGATGGACGTCAGTGAAAATGCAAACATTTTTTTTTTGTCTTTTATTTCTCCAGACTATACAAGATCTTTTGCAGAGAGTAGACAGCCTGTTCCTAGACTTTGCCAAGAAAGCTGCGCCGTTCAACAACTGGATGGAAGGAGCCAGCGAAGACTTGGTGGATGTCTTCAGTGTGCATACTGTGGATGAGATCAGAGTAAGTTATCATTGTAACGTCAGAGGGGGCTTAAATCCCAACAAAGGGGGCTTTAAACTTGCATCCCCTGTGCTCTTCAAAAAAAATCCCCCCCCCCCCCCAAACAAATTTTCCATTTGTATTTTTTTGTTTCAACAAAAAAGAACTACTTTAAACTGATTTTAAGCCTCTGCAACCCTTTAAAAAAGGGCTTTCATTTTGCGCACGAATATAAACCCGCCCTACGAGAGCAGAATTTCTCTCTGACAGCCAATGATTCAAATTTTAGGAAGAAATAAGTCAGTACTTAAATGTTGATAGATTTGTTTTGTTTGATGTCTCATTCAAGAGTGAATAACTTTATACTGCTAGGAAAACCGTTTGCAAAATCAATTTTTTGACAAGAAACTCAAAAAAATAGCATGGGGAACACGTCTTTGAACTTGGGTTTCCTCCTCTTGAACAAACAGTACATGTATAGTGCCTTAGTTATTCTCCTATTTTTAGACATATTCGCAGGGATGTTTCCTGACTCCTTCAAATCTGCCACTGTGCAGTACTTTTGGTAAATTCTGTACCGGTAGAAGTGGCAGGCCTGCGCCTTTCTTTCAATCCTTCACCCGCTTTTGGTGGATTTTGAAGGGTCTAGGAGAGAAGTAGTGCACAAAGTCTTGGTGCCTTGTGGAGATATCATGTCATTATGATCTAAGAGAAGATATTGAGATTGCCTCATACTCATACTATTGCAAGCCAGACACGCGCCGTGAAAACTGAATTTTCGCATATACGTCATGTACACAGAGCAGAATTGCCATTCGTACATATGAATAATTAATTAGCCTTAATTCCAAAACCCTTTGACCTATAGTCATGAAATTTCTTGGGTATGTTTAGGAAGAGTTGCTCTATGCATGTGCCGAGTTTCAAAATTTTTCGTCGCTCGATGGCCGAGATCTTAGGGGGGGGGGGAATCCCCCCCCCCCCCCCCCCCCCCCCCCCCCCCCCCCCCCCCCCCCCCCCCCCCCCAGCTGAGAGATGGTCAAAATAACCCGGCCCCTTTAGGGTTAAGGCTGACTTGATTTTGTCTTACTCAAGTTTATTCTGACTTTTGATGATGAGAGGATACATCAGGTTAACTGCAAATGTAACAATGAAACTGTGTGACATTGTGAAATTTTCATTGCAGCATAAACCACCAACCAATATCTTGATGACTTCAGTAGCTTGGAAGCCCATCGGTTTTATTTGATTTTTAAAAAACTTTTGTTTCATTCCTCTCAGGGTCTGATCCAACCGCATGAAGAATTCAAGGCCACGCTGAACGATGCCCAGAGTGCCTTTGATGAACTTGTGGAGATTGGCAACAAGATCAAGAATCTGTTTGCTGAACACAACCTGGATATTGACAAGTCCAACCCGTACACTACACTCACTGTACAGGTTAGTATAGCTCCCACGGTGGCAAGGAATTTGGTTTTGTGAGAATTTAGTTTTGGTTAACTTAGAAATACGTAAATATTGAATTTGCAAGAGATTCTCTGCTTTTGGGATGTTTCAACTCTATGCTCAGGGTGAGAAACTATACCCAAAACTGCTCAGACAAAATTAACTTACTCAATAAGTTTCAACTTGTCTAAGTACACAGTACAAAATTCTTTTGCAAACTTACATGTAGAATGTAATCACATTGCAAAATTTGATTGAGAACATTCAGGTTTTTTCTGTCAAATATGGCAAATGGTCGTTCAATGTCTGGCATTACACCGTATTAATTCCAACCTCTGGGGCTTGATGTTTCTGTTTCATATTGCCTACGTTATTGCTAAAAAGCTTGATTGAACCCACCAAGATTGAACGCTGCAGTAAATCGTAGATTATTTGTACTTTATCTAAATACTAATTTGATTTTTGGGGGTTTCATATTTAATTCTAACTTACAAAGAAAAATATTATTGTGAGTAGAAGTAGCAGGATACTTGTATTTTTTTTCTTTCTTTTTTTTACCAAAAGTAATAATTTCTTGTTTGTCCCCTTTTTCCAGGATATTGTCTCCAAATGGCAAGAAGTACTGAAACTAGTTCCAGAGAGAGACCAGGCCCTGCAGTCTGAACTCCTGAAACAGGAATGTATCCTTGAAAGACTCCTTAACTAAGAATTACATGTCCCTTCAAAGGAAATGTTGCCCTCTAGTGGTAGGAGAAGGCACAATTTCTGCCATAAATTGACCCACTATCGTTTGGATGGAACATCTTGGATAACCTTGCATTTTGAAGATGTTGACACAGATGTATATCTTTGAGAAGAAATTTTTTTTAGTCAGTTTTTGCAGTTTTGAGTTGGAATTTGAGGACTTGTAGGCAACCCTTTTGCCGTATCTTCAGATTTGATTGAAATGAATAACCAATGTGATGATGAAGTCAAACGGTGATAACTGTCATAGTATTAATTTGCATGAGGGTGAAAACCAACAGATTTCAAACAACGTTCCTGCTATTGTATTTTTTCCTGAGCACTTGTTAAAACAGCCAACGAGCGTCTACGCTACCAGTTTGCCAAGAAGGCCAACGTGGTCGGGCCATGGATCGAAGGGCAGACCATGAAAGTGAACAATCTGCACATGGAGCGCGGCGCACTGGAAGAACATCTTGCAAGTCTCCAGAGGATCGAGAGGGATGTAAGTCGTTAACAAAATATTTAGACTTAATTTCTTCAATAAAATGTGAAATTTGTAAGACATACATGTACTTGCACAGGATTATTCTTTGAAACATACACACGCCCAGGGAGCCTCTGTCATTTGTGGAGATTGAGTGATTAAATCCGTAAGACAACTGCTTCATGATCTCCAGACTTGTTGAATGAGCTTCTATTATCGTGCCTTCGGTAAACTGAAGATGTACATGTAAGCGATGTAAACATGATGAACTATCCTTGACATTAGCAGGCTCAAGCAGCCGATCAATAATACTTATCCTGTATTAAACCAGTGGTCTACGATGGCGTCCCAGTTTCAAAACGTTGGCTCCAATTTGCTGGCGCGCGGGTCACATAAAATGTGCATGCAAGGATGTATCAGACGTTTGTATCAGAGCTCAAACAGATCGTAGTCAGTCTCAGGCGTTCAGTGTCAACTTGAATTGACAAAATAGGGGAAATGCATGTATTTTAACTTCTGGTATTAGAAGAACAGCCCCTCAAGTTAAAGTTAGATTTTTTTATACGCACTACCTTTTAAAACATTGACATTACATTCTAGAACAATGTCTGTTGCTTGCATAATTAACACAGTATAAGTACATTCATGACATTTTATCAGATGCACACTGGTCAGTCGTTTCACTAGTTCTGCCAAATATTCTAAACGAGCGACTGAGGTTCATATTGCATCTGGGTTTTCAAGAGCCACAGCATAGTGCACAGTTGAGCAGGGATTCGTCACCCTGAACATTGTGATGGCATTTGGTTACAGCTCATTTGCACTTTCACCCAATCACGTACGTGTAAGGTTTCGGTTATTGATAAAACATGCTCCTCTGTGCAGTGATTTTGACGGGTTGTCATCCTCTTCCCCAGGTTGTGGATTACAAGGCTCACATGGACGAGCTGGAGATGTACAACCAATCGGTTCAAGAAGCCATGATCTTTGAAAATGAACACACCAAGTACACTATGGAGGTAAGGATCAGAGTTCAGCAGGTCAGGAGTGTCAGGTCGTAGGTTAGCAGACGAAAGGCACTTAAATGCGTGTCAGTCTAGAAATGGAGGGTCCAAATGTGACATTTGTTCCTATCCCTGTATCATTAAGTATAAGTTCAAACAATTTTTTTGTATTTGTTGGGTAGGTACAGTTTCCTATTCATAATCACTCTTGGAGGATGACTGCATAGAAGTATGAAATCATAGATGTCAGATGTGACAGGGAAAGGAGAAAAGTGGACCCCAGATTTATAGAATGACACATACATTGTGTCAGTGCGACAAGGTCGTAACTCGATTCTGCAACAAAGTTGTCTCCCTCTCAAATACGCTCCGTGCTACGTCCAATGACTTTGTGCATACATCTGGGTTATTTTAAAGATATAGTCCATCATTTGGAATTTGTGCATTTTGTTCGTTTGAAGCAACACAAGTGCTCAAAATCTAAAGAAGGGTACTGAACAACTAACCTGATGAAGTTTCAGCTCAGCTTCAACTGTATATTCCGAGAAAAACAGCATTCTAGGATCTCAATTTCAAATCAAAATTTGCTGAATCATGTTTTGAATTGGGCCTGAATTCAGTGTCCGAGACACGTTCTCACTGAGCCGATTGCAGCTACGCAATGTCGCGCACCGATCCGACGAATTATAGCAACTGCGCGCGCGTGTGCGTCATGTCAACGCTTGCGCGCGCTTCGCCAAATAAAAAAACGAACTACTAACGAAAATTTCCAACGGTGCTTCTTAAGTGCGTTGGAAAGGCCTTCTTTTGTTGATTTCTTCAAAAAGACACCTTGCTAGAATGAATAATTTCACAGGGAGTTTAGTCCCCTTACTATCTTTCAACCAAGTATGTTTTTCATCAATAATTACGCCAGTTACTTTTCGGATAGCTGCAAATGATGGACTCGGACTTTAAGCGAGATACGACCGTATAACATTGACAACTCATGTTTCAGGTTCATGACGTCACACGCTATTTTAGAAGATACGACCTTGTTGAACGGACACGGCGATATATGTACCGGAATGTGTTATATATTTGGATATTGATGTGTTGTCAAATCAGACAAAGTTTTGAGCAGTTAATGTTGAATATTCATTGTTCTCCAGTAATAGGCCTTGGCCAGGAGCAGCAAATAAAAGGCAGACTCCTTATTAGTGAATATTCAGTGTTTGTTTTTTCAACCAGATTGTGCGTGTTGGCTATGATTACCTGATGCCTCCAGTCAGTTTCATTATCAATGAATATGTATTGTGTGTTGACTGCTCAGGCTGCAGGAACTGATCATGTTCACTGTCAAACACCTGTGTAATGAATATTCATTATTTTGTTGTCCAATCAGACGATCCGCGTTGGCTATGAGCAGCTGGTGACGACAACAAGACGTCTCATCAATGAGTTGGAGAACCAGATTTTGACCAGGGATTCCAAGGGCATTACAGAGGAGCAGTTCGAGATTTTCAGGCAGTCCTTCAATATATTTGACAAGGTATGGTAGTTTGTCAAAATCTGACCAATGGAAATGTTGCCAATTCAAGGAACAATACAAGTTGTTATTCCTCTGAATACTGTATTTGCATTGGCATACACCGATCACGTGTTAATTTATAAAAAGTCATAGCACACTCCCTGTGGGTACATGATATCCCACAGGGAGTGTGCTATGACTTTGTACGTACGGTACATACGGTGTGAAAAGCTTGTATCGTTGGTACCCACGCTATTTTCACCATGTTTTCACATATATGAGAGGGAGCAGCGAACTAGCAGACGATCAGCTGTTTTGAGCACGCGGCATGCATGTGGGTTGCTGTTCGATTGTCATGATTGTTGTGTTTACTGTTGTTTGTTTTTGCGTGATTTTTACTTCAAAATCAAAAGAACCCAAGACAGAGTTGTAACAAAGCAATTGTTGACTGTTACGATGTGGGATATGACGTTTTGAACACCCGAGGGGCGCATAGCATCCGAGGCAAAGCAGAAGGTGCTATCCGCCCCTCTGGTGTTTAAAACATCATATCCCACATCACAACAGTCAACAATTGTTAAATATGCTTACAATAAAGTAGGATATTTCATAACAGTTTGGCAGTTTTGTTTTTGAATATTTTGCAAATATTGCGAATTACCTATAGCCCTAACAGTCCAGAATCCTCCAATTTCAATATAATTTTGCACTATAGGTTCTTTTCCCGAAAAGGTTATGTTGGACTTTTGCAACCAAAATAAAAGTTCCTGCATAAACTGCAATGCTCTTTGACCACTTGTGGGAACTCCAAGTGCAGATCACACTGCATGTGTGCACTGGTGCAAGCTATGCACAACCAGTGTTAGGGAAGAATGCAGCATAAGCCAGATCGGTATTAGTCTAGATCAAAGGTCACTTGGAATAAAATCGCTGACGTGATGTTACGCGATTCTACGCAAACGCTCGTTCTGCTCGTAATTAACACGCAAGCGTCGTGCGCTCATCTCCCTGCGCATTCATTTGCCTTTGATGCACGTTGGATTATCTCGAACGACCTGAGACCCATATCATTGTGTGCATGCGTAGTTGGAATACTGAACTGGCTTATTAAGTACGTGGTTTACCTTAGGTTGAACCCTGAGTTACCCTGTCAAACCTAGTAAAACCTCAAGTTACCACCTGTTAATTTTGCATTCTACTCTGTAATATCTTCGCTATAACACTTGGCTTGCTCTGGCAACAGCACTCAAGATGTATACTGGTTGAGGAGGTACCCCGGTACTTGTGCAAGGAATTCATTGTCAGCCTTGTCCTTTTCTTATAATTCTAGCCATTGGACCTAAATATACTGCCCAAAGTTGTTACACTATTTCTTGACCTGCATTGCATTTTAAATTGATTAGAATTATTAGCCTGATTCCATGTTCCCCATCATATTGTAGTCTTGAAAACGGGATGGTTTTAGAATGTAAAACGCAACCTGGTTTACGATGCTACTTTCACTTGTAAACCTCAACCCTTACACCTTAGGTATTTCAGCTAGAAACACTTCTCTGGTCACCAACTGCCGCATGATATAAAAGTGAGGGTTCAATGGGACTATCTTTCATTGTTTGAGAATTGGCCGTTGATGCACAAGTTTTGATGGCACAATGCAGCGAGGTCCCGCAGACTTTTATGTGTTATTTTATTACTCCTTGATTATGCTAGAGAGGTTTACATCTTCTCTTTTATCAGAACCACTCTGGCAAGCTGGATCCCATGGAGTTCAAGTCCTGCCTGGTGTCCCTCAGTATGGCCCCGCCCGATGACAAGTCGGGACGAAACCCGGAGTTTGATCGCATCATGCAGAGCGTGGATCCCAACCATGACGGCCACGTCACGTTTGAGGCCTTCCTGGATTACATGTCACGTGAGGCTACCGACACGGACACATCAGAGCAGGTCAAGGGATCATTCAAAGTGCTCGCTGGCAATAAGGTGGGTGTAACAAAAACATATTTGGATTGCAATCATGATGTCGCAATTACAGACTATACTTGATGAACTTTTAGCTCTGAACGCTGTATTTTCTGAGAAAACAGTATTTTAGGATCTTGGTTTCAATTCTAAAGTTGCAGAGTTATGTTTTGAAATATGCCCGTAATCAGCGTCCAGGACATGTTCTCAGTCAGCCGATTGCAGCTTCACAATGTCACACAATGAACTGACTAATAATAGAGACGGCTCACGCTGGTGCGTCTGTCAATGCTTACGTACACCCATTCACAGATTCGCCGATTTACAACCCAACTACTAACAAAAAATTGCAAAAATGTGTCACTTGACACATCTTTGGAAATTGTTTTCTTCAAAATGACAGCATGCCAGAAAGAATGATTTTGCAGGGTGTTGAGTGCCAGTACTAAGTGAGCTTTTCAACAATAAGTTTGTCAGTTACTTTTTAAAAGCTCTGCAAAAACTTTACTCAAACTCATCCTAGTCAGTTATCGCTGGACAATTCTAATAAACTTTTCAGAACCAGTGTATTTAGGTTGGTTGCATTGCTGGTAACCAGAAGCTGCGCACGTTATGCACAGCAGGAGCAAGACCTGAGTAGCCTGTGACAGCGGCGGCGGAACGGGTTTGAAACTGGGGGGGGGGGGGGGGGGGCAGCACCCAAAAGGGGCACTTGCAAACCAAAAGGGGCACTTGCAAACCAAAAGGGGCACTTGCAAACCCGTGCTGAAATGTCGACACGTTTTTTTTCACCGGACACTTTGACTCCGTAAAATCAAATAGTGCCGGGGGGGGGGGGGGGGGGGGAATGGTTACTTCTAAGAAATAGTGAGATACTTTAAGGGCATTTTTGATTTATCTCGAGGGGACACTTTAATGCTCGAAGGGGCACATTTATGGCCGCTAAAGGGGCACTTGGGAAAATCTAGGGGGCCAAATGCCCCCCCCCCCCCAGTTCCGCCGCCCCTGGCCTGTGATGACATATTGACCAACATTCAAGTATTTTGTTACTCAGTTATACCACTCTTTTAGATCCTCATTTTTGTGTACTGCAATTGTGTTCCTTTCAACACAGCTTTGAATTCCATTATTTGTGACTTCTCGCAAGTTCTCGGTGTTGCAAGTTCCTTCTTACTGTAACCAGTCCAAAGACCTATAGAGTTTACTTCCATTCTGTTGTATTTAGACTTGCTGGTCCAGCTTGATTATGCATGTCTTGTCTTTATGAATCCACGAGTTACATTATCTTGTTTGCATTCTCCATCCCGTAGAACTACATCACGAAAGAAGACTTGATGCGGGAGCTTCCTCCAGACCAGGCTGAGTACTGCATTGCAAGAATGGCACCCTACCAAGGACCCGACGCTATCCCTGGTGCCCTAGATTACCTGTCCTTCTCAACAGCTTTGTATGGCGAGAGTGATCTGTGAGCAGGATACCAACTATCATGTAGTCCAGCAGTTGATTATTTAGATTTGTTAAGCATACAAAAACAAAACATTAAAAACAGAGAGATAAAAAGGTGAATTCATGGTACTTTTTAGTTGGTAACCAACAAAACTAGTCTTGTAGCAAAAGAGTGTATATTGGTTTTCTTATTCAGAATATATGCATTGATGATAGCACCAAGCAAATCTGTTCTTAAATCTAGGTGATTGTAGGTTTAGCCTTTCGTTGAACAGTTTAAGCGAAACCGATAAAACTTAAAAAAACAAAACAAAAATATTGAAATATATACAAGCTGAGGTGGTGGTGTGGCGTGAATTCCCTGCTGTGATCTTCATAAATGCGTTGATATAACTATTGCCGAGGCTTATTCCTTCCTCCCTTTAGGTTCTTTCTTTTTGTTCTCTTCTGGTGGGCATTCATTATGAGTTTTTTTTTCTCCTGAACCAAAAAATCCTACCAAGGAATGGAGCTGGTGCTTAGTACAGCGACTGTCTTCTCCTGGAATCTTGTCTTCTCAGATGGATGAAAAAATCACTGAACTTTTATTCAATCACTATTTCTGTCTTAGAAATATTTATGTTTTTTGTTTCCTCTTTAAGTGACTTCTTTTAACGTGGCATTCACATGGTGCAAGGAGTAAAATATTTTATTAAAACCTTACTTTTTTTATGCTAATGATTGGTCTGAGTTGTAGTCAAATGCGAACTGTTTCAAGGACTGTAATTAAGTTGTAATTAACAAGATATGCCCTGAGACGTACTCAATTTTTTTTAAATTGTAAACTCGTAGCATAAACTGTGTGGTAATTTTTACCGTTAAAGGTTTGTATGCGTGGTTATGCTTTCTTTGTTAGTTTTGCTTGTGATTACTTAGGAAATCAAACAATGCCGAAGATCAAAGAGATTGAATAAATAGAATGTGTGAGGAGTGGTCCTATGACAAAATTATGAGACTCAAGTAATACTCACAAAAGATAAACTTTTTTTTTTTAATGTAAAGTGTTCAGAGATGTAAAGCTCAGAGAACCCTTCATATTGATGTCACCGCTGTGTAGAGCACAATTAAGTTTTGTAGTTTCATCGCAGCTCCAAGAGTTATCCTGTAGGTAGACACATCCACATGTGTTGACATAACTGAAAAATAGTGCCATTACTTCAGAAAAAGTTATGTTTCACTCATGATTTCTTTTATTAAGTGACCATGTTTGCATGTTTTGTGATGCTGTGGATGGCAGTTTTGTGGCAGCTATTTCTTTGCTCTTGCTGTACATTGACAAAGTTGCTTCATTTACAGCTGTCCATAGAACCTGAACACTTTAAACAGTGCTTTTATAAACCTAGTTAAAAGACGTGAGAAACTGGTTAGTTAAGTAGTGTCTCTGGATTATAGGTAGACCAAGCCATAGAAAGTAGTGTAAGATTAGTTTAGATTTTTAAGTTAAAAGACGAATTACAATGGTTTGGCTTTGGTAATGAGTTTGTTATATATTTCTGTTTGCGTCAAAAAATCGAGATTAACAAAGAAATCTAAAATGATTATTATTTACTGCGTATGATGGTGACTGTTCAATATAATTTTGTTGTGTAGCTCAAAGTAAAGGATTGAAGATGTGTAATTGAATCGTAAGTATACCAAATAAAGTTTTTAAAAAAAGTTTAATTAATGTGAAAATCGGGATTAAAGACGTGCCTTATTCAACCCTTATATGGTTATGGGTAATCCTCTAACTGTAGCTGAATGCTTGCTGGTTGTAGTCTGATAGATGCTGCGTAGAATATTAGAGAAACTTGATTGAAATATAACATTGAAAATAGTACATAATGTGTTGCTGGGTTGATATGTATGCCTTGAGAACTTCGTATGAATGATCGTTTGTACTTTGAACAGAAAACCAAGGTCTGGTTCCTAGCAGCTGTCAATGAACAACGAATACTTTAATGTCTAGTTGCGTAGTGTCAATACTCAGACATGTACAATCTCGGAAGTTTTTATTGCATTTTGTTGTTGGATGCAAAGGCTGAATTGTGATATTTTGTAAAGTGATTTTGAAAACAATTTGAAGTCACAAGTTTGTACATGTACTTTGTCCTTGTTGGGGGGCGGTATACAAATTATTACATTTTTGTTTGCTGTTTTTGAACATTAAATGGTAAGTGCGGTTATATTAACCAGTTTGTAGTTGTGCTCTAAACTGTTCTTCCATGTATATGGATAACTATGTATAACTATGTATAACTATGTATAACTGTGTGCATGATCGCCATAGTTCTCTTCACACTAAGTTGGGAAAGATCATTTAAGTACATCATTCAAACTAAATCCGTCTTTGTAATGTTATGTCCATTTGATTTTAGTTGACATGTAATTTTTATTTCAGTGATCATAATTATGATGGATTTAGATAATTTCCCCAGAGATGTCAAAGTAAATAAAAGAACCATAAACTCGAAGAAAGTCATTACAATGTCGAGTAGAAATTTGTAATAAAAAGGTTAACGGTTCCTGTTCTTTCACAGTTAAATCAAAATGTAATCTTGCACTTCTTTCAGAGTAATTGTTCATTTGAGGATCACTTTCTATCATTAAATATAAACTTTGTAAACAGTAAATCATTTTATGGTAGCTGTGATATTGGTCTTGTCGCCATTGTGTCCGCTTAAGATATTACATACAACTGCAGCAACAAGTGGTTGGTTCATTTTTTTTCAATAAAAAGGGCGTTATTTTGTATATTAAATTTGCGTAAATATGAACTCAGACTTTGGCAAGGATCACAATAAGCCTCTGTACTAATGCGTCACACTTTGTTTACTTATGCACTTTCCTATGGAGCCAGTGGGGGCCCACGGTCCACTGAGCATCATAGGAAAGCACACACGTAAACAATGTGTGACGTCATTAGTACAGAGGCTTATTAAACTCGACTCTGTGTCATCCTTGTGGAATTACTTAAAGATACAATTAGTTTCTTCCAAACATTACTTACAATTGAGTAGTGAGCAACTAGCCTCAGTTAAAGAGAAATTGAAATGTCGCGGTTTATAGAGGGTACTCTAATGGGCATTGTTATAGGTCGTGGCAAAGGTACCTAGAGACTGGTCTTCAAAGACCATCTCGCTGGAACTTAAAGCAAGACAAGAATTTAATACTCGATAAATCTCAATAGGGGCTGTTTTGGGGGAGAGTTTTGTTGAAACGGTGCTGGTGTGTTTTGATCGAACATTGATCTGGTTTGTTACATAAAAGATGCAGTTTGAAGAGTTCCTTGAAATGGGTCAACGTTTCCATCTGGGACAGTAGAATGTTAAAAATGCAACTCTGAATTAAGCGTCACCTTTTATATGGTTGGAAGACCCTTTGGGGTTAATTTTTTTTAATCCTATTTTAGGAACAGAGTAAGAATGTTTTTTTTCACTATTATACAGCATAACTTCAACAGTATATTAAGCTTGAATCACATTATTTTAAAATCAAGCGTCATTAGTTTTTATTACATATGGACTCCTTTTTTTTCATCCATAAATTAAAATACATGTAAAAAATTCCGTAGTTTTGGGAGGAAAAGAAGTACAATTTCCTTTTGGAATGTATGTCATAAACACGGGGTTCTTTCAAATTTGAGGACTTGTTAACTAAGTTTTAGGATGGGTGGTCGATTTTTTTATGAAAGACATGTATGTTTATTAATTGCTTATAATGATTTGCTTAATCCCGTTATGGTACGCTTCAATGGAATCACCTATTTAGAGAATGTAGTAAGACTTCTGTACTATGCAAAGAAACTCATTAAAACCCGCCCGCAATCTTCCCACGTGATCGTGTATTTTTGTGTGCTATTTTTTATATTTCATTTTAGTAAGACTGACTTGAATAGCATGCATATATTTGATTATTGGACGATGTTAAACTGAAGAAAAAAAGTACCACCAAAAAATGATTGCGAAATCATTTTATTGAAGTTACTTCCTCTACAAGCCTACGATCACGAAAGCAAAGCGCATACATTTAAGTAAAGCAACACGCAAGCTTTATTTTAATGGCATTGAATATTCATAAATCCCATTTTGACCCCAAAAGTGCAGGACAGAAACAGCCAACAACCACCGCGAACATTTCTCCAATTTCACCGCAGAGCATTACGGGGCGAGGTTGAGCGTTTTACGAGTTTTCTGCCGGACATGTCTTACGCAAATTTAAACAAAATGCTGAAAATCAGATGTTTCGTTTGCCTGAAATGTCAAATTTCTCAGTGTCGAACGCAGTGTGTCGAAATTTGGATTGCTTTTTACACCTGCTGACCGTGTTTGGTGACGTTTTTTTACATGCACGTGGAGTAAATTGTAAATGTTTTCAGACACAAAAACATTACTGTTCGTTTGATTTGATTAAAACTTTGCGGATGTTTTAGTTATGAATGCGTATATATGGATGCACACCAAATTTCAAAACGATCCGGTGTTATATGAAATTCGGACTCTCATATGAAATCTGCTCTCATTTACCTAATGTGACCTTATTATCTCTGACCTAATTGCGCAATTCATCCAAACAGTGCGTAAATCATAGAGCCCAAATTCTCACACTACACCGGCACTGAACAATTGAGATTCGAGGTGCGCAATAACCCTCACCTTCGGCTCTGAGGTGAATTTAAATTGGCGCTTTTAGGGTCGGATGAGACACCGGTTAGATCCCAATTGTACTCTGAAACAGATTATTATATAGATGATTGACCTCATACTTAACTGACTGGGAGAGCGTTGCAGCCAACAGGTTGGGCTGGCGTAGTGTATTACACCAGGGGAGCAGCCTTGCCCATCAAACCTACATGGAAGAGTGCAACGTCAGACGCGCTACCAGGCACCGTCGTTCTGATCGTCGTTGATCGACGTTACTGACCTCATACGTAACCTCATACAAGTAGTATTTCTGACCTTATTATCTTAGCTAGTGCATGCGTAATGCATCCAAATAGTGCTTGTATGATAGCCCAAATCTCACACTACACCGGCACTGATCAATTGAGATTCGAGGTGCGCAATATCCCTCACCTTCGGCTCTCAGGTTTATTTAAATTGGCACTTTTAGGGTTAAAATTAAATACATTTTATATCCAAATTGTACTCTGAAACAGATTATGATACAGTTGATTATGTTAATTACCAGCTTTCACAATGAAGCCGCTTTACTTTGACTACGATATTTGAAGAATTAAACCAAGAATTACATTTTTAATCATCATTTTTAATTAAGGTAAAGCTATCTCTACCAGTGCCTCTAGTTT